ATGAAAGTAACAATGTTATTTACCGTCACAGGCCACTTTAGTCCAACTGCTCGATGATGCAAATTTTTTATCAGCCAATCACATGGCAGCAACTCACTGCATTTAAGCATGTAGACATGGTCAAGACGATCTGCTGCAGCTCAAACCGAGCATCAGAATGAGGAAGAAAGCGGATTTAACTGACTTTGAATGTGGCATGGTTGTTGGTGCTAGACGGGCCGGTCTGAGTATTTCAGAAACTGCTGATCTACTGGGATCTTCATGCACAACCATCTCTAGAGTTTACAGAGAATTATCTGAAAAAGAGAAAATATCCAGTGAGCGGCAGTTCTGTGGGCACAAATGCCCTGTTGATGCCAGAGGTCAGAGGAGAATGGCCAGACCAGTTCCAGCTGATAGAAAGGCAACAGTAACTCGAATAAGCGCTCATTACAACCGAGGTATGCAGAAGAGCATCTTTGAACTCACAACGCATCCAACCTTCACGCTGATGAGCAACAGCAGCAGAAGACCAAACCGAGTGCCGCTCCTGTCAGCTAAGAACTGGACACTGTGGCTGCAACTCATACAGGCTCACCAAAATGGGACAATAGAAGATTGAAAAAACTTGGCCTTAGTCCCTTTATTAATCTGGGGTCACCACAGTGGAATGAACTGCCAACTTATCCAGCACATGTTGTACGCAGCGGATGCCCATCACTGGGAAACACCCACACTCTCACACTACTGACACTTTAGCTTACCCGAATTACCTATAGCACACGTGTTTGGACTGTGGGGGAAACCAGAACACCCGGAGGAAACCCACGCAAACAAGGGGAGAACATGCAAATTCCACACAGAAATGCCAACTGCGAAGCCAAGGCTCGAACCAGCAACCTTCTTGCTGTAAGACTAGAGCACTACCCACTGCGCCACCCCCGAATACTAATATTCATATTTATTTTTCACCTCCACATTAACATTTTGCATTGTTGGATTGCGTTTGAAACATTTGATGAAAGTGAAATTCAAAACAAAAAAGCCATTCAATATTTTTTTTTTGCGAAATAAAAGGACAAAATATGTTTACATTTAATATTAACAAAGATCATAGTCTGATATAAAAAAAAAACAAGATTAAGCCAATAAATCTAGCAAATATTGTTTTGGTACTTGGGTCAAAAATAACATGTGCAACCTTTGTTTAAAGGGCACTTATGATGAAAATCAACTTTTGTAAGCTGTTTGGACAGAAATGTCTGTATGTATAGTGTGTTCACTGTCATACTGAAGTGACAGAAACTCAAGTCATTTTTTTTTTATCTCCAGGGCTCGGTTTTTCAAAAGTAATCCACTAGGATTTTGGATAAGGGATTGGATCAAATCTTGAAAATGGGTTTTTCAAAAGAAAAAACGGATTACGTAATCGGATTAGATCACGTAATCCAATCTTGGCTTTGATCCGGATCAAACCTTTACTTTGGGTTTTTCAGACCTTTTTTTGTAGGATCTGGATCACTTTGATCTAAAAACCTGGATTAAACTGATCCCATCAGAAGGGTGGATTTAGCGTGGATTTCATGCCCAAAATGTAATGAAAACTTAAAAAATGTATTAAATAATACTATTTTTGGATCATGCAGTATCTTACGAGATATACTGTTTATTCATAAGGTTTTAATTTTATTTGTTCATCTGTCAGGCTATAGTAAGTATAGGCTTTAATGTATTCAGCCTTTCAGTATCGGCGTACAGCAAAGTAGAAAGAGTTTGGCCTCATAAAATAATCCCCCAAACAGCTGTCAAAACTGACCAAAAACAATCAATTTTATTCTGTCACTAATTGATATATATATATATTCATCCCAATGGAAACTATTTTTCTTTTTAGAATATTTATTAGTGATGCATGCAATGATTACAGAATAACAAAAAAAAATTGCAAAGAATGGCAATCGCTGATATTTGAAATCACTTTCAACAATTGCAAAAAGAGACTGAAAGAGCAGAAGCACAGCTTCGTCTGGCAGAGAAACGACTGACTCTAACCAAACTGCAGCAAACCAAGGCCAATGACTTGAGATTCGCCTCCTAAAGGCTACGCTCAGACAAGCTGCTCTCTCCACATCAGATGAGGAAGTCGGAAATTATTGTGGAGTTTTTGACATTAAATCTTTTTTTGATTTACATCTATATTTGAAACTTATTATAAATATCCTCAATGTACAGTGTTGTAGGTCTCAGATGAGTGGACTGCTGAAAGAGGATGGGGTGGGGTTTTTCTTGTTTTTATTATTTATTATTATTTTAATAATTATTAAATTCTTTTTAGTTTTCATTTCAAATATAAAAAATAAAGTTATATTGGCCCCACGCTGGCTATTCTATTCTATTCCTGGGCCCGGTTTTTCAAAAGGTTTAATCTGGATAAAATTGATCCAGATTTAGTAATCCTGTTTTTGTGATCCGTGATCACGTAATCCAGCTTACTTATTGAGCCAGTTTTTCAAAGCAACATCGGATTGGATCAATCTGATCCGGACAGGAACTTTTCAGAATCACTAAATCTGGATAACCACTGCTCAATCACAATGTAGATGGATAGATAGGCCTATGTAAAGAGCAACAAGTAGAATAGCCAGTGTGGGGTCAATATAACTTTTTTTTTTTTTTTAAATAAAAACCTTACCCCATCCTCTTCCAGCAGTCGGCTCATCTGAGACCTACAACACTGTACATTAAGTATATTTATAATAAGTTTCAAATATAGAAGTAAATAAAAAAGGCTTAATGTCAAAAACTCCACAATAAGTTCAGACTTTCTCATCTGATGTGGAGAGACCAGTTTTCTGAGCAAAGCCTTTAGGAGGCGAATCTCAAGTCTGGCCTTGGTTTGCTGCAGTTTGGTCCGAGTCAGTTGTTCCTTTGACAGATGAAGCTGTGCTTCTGCACTTTCAGTCTCTTTTTGCAATTGTTGAAAGAGATTTTAAAAATCAGTGATTGCCATTCTTTGCATTTTTTTTTTGTTATTCTGTAATCATTGCATGCATCACTAATAAATATTCTAAAAAGAAAAATAGTTTCCATTGGGATGAATATATATATATCAATTAGTGACAGAATAAAATTGATTGTTTTTGGTCAGTTTTGACAGCTGTTTGGGGGATTATTTTATGAGGTCAAGCTATTTCTACTTTGCTGTAGGCCTATACTGAAAGGCTGAATACATTAAAGCCAATAATGTTGCCTGACAGATGAACAAATAAAATTTAAAACTTATGAATAAATAGTATATCTCGTAAGATACTGCATGATCCAAAAATAATATTATTTAATACATTTTTAATTTTTCATTACATTTTGGGCATGAAATCCACGTTAAATCCACCCTTCTGATGGGATCAGTTTAATCCAGGTTTTTTGGATCAAAGTGATCCAGATCCTACAAAAAAGGTCTGAAAAACCCAAAGTAAAGGTTTGATCCGGATCAAAACCAAGATTGGATTACGTGATCTAAACCGATTAGGTAATCCGTTTTTTCTTTTGAAAAAACCCATTTTCAAGATTTGATCCAATCCCTTATCCAAAATCCTAGTGGATTACTTTTGAAAAACAGGGCCCAGACGTTAAAACATGATCCAAATCCCAGTGATCTTGAGGCCCACCAATACGTGATGTAGAAGTGCAGTTTTCCCCACTCACCGAATTGATTGACAGTTGACATGGTTCTGTAATAACATTTAAACACATGTCCACAGAACATTTTATGCAAAGATACTGAGATTAAAATATTTGTTACAACTCTCTGTGATTTTTATAAGATTTATAAGTTTAAAACGTTTTTATAACAGAGCATGTTTGTAATAAATAGATAATAGAGTGGTAGATAAAGTCGCTATATTAACCGCTGTAATCACCACAGCCGCAAGATTTTATTAAACGCGCACATATGTATGTGTGTGTACTGCAAACGACATTTGTGTCTGTAAGACTTATCATTTCAGAAATGCTTGAATGAACTCCATAAATACATAAAATAAACTTACTTTGCATTTTTGACTTGTGACCTTATTTCAACTTCATCCATGTCTGTCTATCACTGACTGCTGTTTATCTGATTTAACGCTGGAGAAGCAGACACACATGTGGGAACTGTGGGTGGGGAGAAGCAGCTCATTTGCATTTAAAGCCACAGGCTACAAAAACAGCGATGTATTGACCTTATTCTTTAATGCGGAAGTGTGCTCGTTTTTTACGATTGTTTTCGAACTTCCGATTCAGTTGCCTATGGAAGAAATGACTAGGAATAAAAAAACGTCAGAAAACAGTCATTAAGCAACGAAAAACTACTTGCTCTACTAACAAGTGTGTCCATGACTATACAGACAAATTAGAATAATGAGAAAATATCAGTTTGCAACATCAAGCAGCAAAACAAATTGTTTGAGACGAGTGAATGACACCTGAAATCTCGAGCCAAAATGGTTCAAATGGCTGCGCCCGCTCGTACGCGAAGAATAATGTGAATTCAGACACTAAAATTGGCATATTCTGGAGGCTGTAATAAATCATCTGATGGGTATTTTGAGCTGAAACTTTACAGACACATTCTGGAGACACCAAAGGCTTCTCTTACATCTTGTAAAAGGGGTAAAATAGGTGCCCTTTATAGTGACATTGCAATGAAGTTGTTCTACATTGATACAAAATAACACCTGATTTTGATAGAGCACACTTATGAGTTAGTAAAAACTATATTTCTGTCTAAAACATTATCTTTTAAAAAAACGTTTTTCATGTAAAATGGTACTTTAGTCGCTACATTTCAGCCGACATTCTGTGAAATACATTTTCTCATGAAACTTGTTACTTTTGGTAATTATAAAATTTTTACAAAAACTTAAAAATCATTAAGCTGTCATGTATGTGTTTTCATTCAATTAATTCTGAGGTCATTTTTACATACCAAAGAGCTTGTTTCTGTGGAATGTTCCTATTAATAAACTCGTCGTTGGCAAGGCAACATTGTTCAGTCAGTCTATTCGCCAAGGCGGATCCAAAAACGCTAATGCGAGACAATAATGCCCTTACACCCTTTAAAGAACTCGCTTTAGATGCTCTGTCTATCGAAAGGAGAGGAACGAGTGAATACTCGCTTCATTAAAGTGAAAACGTCACGACAGACCTTTAAGTGACGTTGCAAGCGCTGACGTTTTTATGACGGAGCTGATTCAGTGGTCTCGGGTGTCGACTGTCACTCTGGCGAGCAGTGCAGGTGGTCAGCGGAGCTTTTACCAACTCAACAGCTGCTGACAAAAGTAAGGGTTTTCTCCTTCTTACTGCAACTTACACTTCATCCCAAATGTACATGCAGAATATGGCAAATGCTGCACGAAAAGGCGCGATTCTCCCTTATTTAATGTGTGTTTTAATTTACACAGGTTGTGTGTTCTTGTTTTCTGTAAACCAATATATTCAATTAACGGTATATGTGTTAGTATTTAGGAAGAAGTATACTAAGCTGTTCATTTACATAACAACATGCCAAATCGACCTTAAATTAGCTCGTTATTGTTGCTAGCTGTAGCTGTTAGGTGATGTGGGTTATAATAGAATCACGTTTGTGTTTTTTGGTTAACTGCACCGGTATGCTTTTCAATACACAGTGATAACAATAATCCACCAAGAAATAGCGTTAATTAGTATGTTTGAGCTCTTTTATTGGGCTATTTGGCGGTTAGCATGGGTTGCTAATATCTTCTTGGGGTTCCCATGTTTAGTGAAAGGACAAAATGATTGACATTCACCGTGACCATTAGCGTTCCGCTGAGTGTATCCGGTGGGCGGGGTTTGAGTCTCCAGCCAATGGGCGCTTTTGACGTTACAGAGTGGGCGGGCGGATCATCACTGAAGGGGAGTGGAATGTGGACGCAAGGTCAAAACATAGGCGTGTGGAGGGAGACTGGGTGTCCATGTTTATTTCAACCTCATGGTTTTACTGTTTTTCATTGAAGCGTGAAACGAATTGTGTAATGTATATTTTGTAGAGTGTACTTTTTGTTTGCTTACAGTGGGGAAAAAAGGAAATCAATGTTTCATACTCAAACATTGGGAAATAACTTTTTTTTTTTACAAATTTGCATATGCCATGTTGTGTTGGGGAAAAATAATTGAATTAAGTCAGACATAAGTTTGTCTTCAGGGCATAACATTTTGTAATGTGATGTTCTATGACCCTGGACACTTTGCTTTTTAGATAACGTGACTAGGCATGGCCCGCTATAAGATTCTGACAGTATGATAACCTTTTATAACATGACGGTTTCACAATATTATGATTACTGCTCTAAAATATGTTCTTTTTAAATGTCTGAATAAAAAACAAACTCTTTTTTTTCAGCTTTGAACACAATGTATTTTATTTTTAGAAACTTTTAAAATATTTTGGAGCAATAAATATGTCAAGCTAAAGAATTCCAATGAATCATTGACTTTTGCTGTGTTCGTTTTCTTCAAAAACACAGATTTCTTTACAATTTAAAACGGCATCTATGTAAAACTTTTTTTTTCTGCTGGAGATACTTTTGTCCTAAAAAAAAAAAATATATATATATATATATATATATATATATATATATATATATATATATATATATATATAAACTGTAGGAACATTATAGCAGAAAATTTTGGCGGTTTTAAAACCTTGACTTTTCCAAACTGCGGTAAACCTTAAAAACAGTTATTGTCTCATGCCTAAACATAAAATGATGTCTTCATGCAAATATTGTATGTTAGTAATCACTTTATTTGCGTGCATTGTTTACAATAACAGAGGTTCAGTATTAGAACAGGGTGTCCGCTGGGTCTTAAGAAGTCCCAAAAACAAAAATGTAGGCCTTAAAAAGTCTTAAATCTACTGAAGTGTTAATTAAGTGTTAATTTTTTTTTTAACAGGTCTTAATTTTCCTTTGTTCATGTATAGCAATTTGGCCAACACCAACAATTTGGTAAACTTTTTATTTAGGAATGTAATTTTTAACTCTTATTTACCATAATGGTTTAATTATTTACATTGCAACTACATTTGTTTAAAAGTTATCCATGTATTTACTGCTAAGGAAGATGACCTGGGGTGCGTTTCCCAAACAATGACGTAACTCACAGCTAAACTATCATAGTAATCCAATGATAAAAAACAAAATCCAATATTAGTTTTGGTAAAATCATGCACTCGTTAAATATTAATTGAAATACATGTAAATGACACATATAGGGCCAATATTTCCTTTACAAATATTATTAAGACCATTACATATTCTATTCTAAAATATAAAATCACTTACAAAAGCTAACATGTATTCTAATATCATATATAAATCTTATAAATAAATAAATAATGAGGCTACTTATTAATAAATTAAATTAAATATTTATTATTTATTAGGAAATGAAAATCCTACTTTATTATTAATATTAATAATGTTAATGATGATAATGATTATTATTATTAAGTAGAATATTGTTTATTTATTTAATTAAACGATTTATTAATCGTTGGAATGATGGATTTGGGAAATGCCAAATCAACGACGTATGTTTGTAACAGCGGAACTTGCGACCTTAGTTGACTAACAATGGTTTTTTGGAAACGCACCCCTGGACAGAATATTGTGCATACATTTAGTTTATTATAGTTTTTTAAAACCTTTAAAGCTTTTTTAAGTTGTTTTTTTGTTTTGTTTTGTTGAAAGTGCATGTATACAACTAGAACTTGCTTGTTTTGGCACAATATTTAAAATATTTTGCTCAGAATAAATAAAATAATTTATTTTAAATTATTAAATTATTATTATTGCATTATTAAATTATTAATAAAAAGTTTGATAGGGCAAATAAAAATCTTTTCCCATTCCATTAGAAAAACTCCTTAGCATTTAGCCCAGTATATGTCTAAAATGTCATTCAAAATGGTCTTAAAATGTTTTAAAGTCTTACATTTAACTTGCAGAAACCCGTAGAAGCTTCAGAAGTCATTGTTTTAAATTTCAGTAACTTATGTAGTATTTTCAGTTGTTTTCAAACACTGTAACCGAGAGTAAGCCACTCTGGCCAAATCATCAGACACCATTTCATTCCACAAATCACTTATGCACACCATCTTTGACCATTTAGGACATAATGTTCTCTATAGCTCAGTTCTTATCAGGAGCCTGAATAGCTCTTTGACCTTTGACAGAGCTCTGAAGGTGGCCGTCATGCTACGTAAACTACTAAACAGCATTTACTGCGTTAACAAAAAGCAGATTACATTCTGAGCTGCATCAAGATGTTTTGCTGTGATAATTCAGATTTAAGGTTAACATTTGTAGATTGTAACTCATTAAAAACTCATGTTTGCCACACCTTTGATTGCCTTCTCTGCTCTTTTGTTCCAGAGTGCAAAACACAGATTGGATTAACAGTTCAAGAGCTTTCCGGACTTGCCCATTCTTTCCCAGGAAATCAAAACACATTTTCCATTACGGCAGAAGACGGGAGCTGACACTTCTCTCTTCTGTTGTACTACTGAGGACATCCAGGAGATTGTGAGTGTGGGTGGCACTCGTTTAAAAGACTGCGATGCACCGCTTAAGGACTTGTGCGGCACGGCTCCGGCCTATAACGGCCTCACAGACTGCTAAAAATCTATCACAGCAGGGGCCGGCAGCCACACCTAGGACGTTTCAGCCATTGAGGTGCTTCTCGTCACCTGTGGCAGCAGAGCCGTTTCTGAACGGAACCAGCTCTAATTATGTTGAGGAGATGTACTATGCGTGGTTGGAGAATCCCAAGAGTGTGCACAAGGTAAGGAGCGAAGGACATGGAGTTGGATTATGAAAAGAAGTGATGATGCCTCTCTGACGTCCTGTCTCTTATGTTCTACTGTTCAGAAAAGGTTTATAGAATATTCTAATCCAAGTATGCACACTTAAGCCCTGTTTTCGTTTAAAAAACACATCTTTTTCTCTCTTCCCTGCTAAAAAATCTAGCTTAAACCAGCCTAGGCTGGTTGACTGGTTTTAGCTGGTTGACCAGCCTGGTTTTAGAGGGGTTTTGGCCATTTTCAGGCTGGTTTCCAGCCATTTCCAGCCTGGTCTTAGCTGGTCAGGCTGGAAAATGACCAGCCAAATCCAGCTAAAACCAGCTTGACCAGCCTGGTTTAAGCTGGATATAGCTGGTTTTGGCTGGACTCCCAGCTTGGCTAGGCTGGTCAAGCTGGTTTTAGCTGGTCATCTTCCAGCCTGACCAGCTAAGACCAGGCTGGAAACCAGCCTGGAAGTGGCCAAAACCCCTCTAAAACCAGCCTGGTCGACCAGCTAAAACCAGCCAACCAGCCTAGGCTGGATTTTTCAGCAGGGTATTTTGGCCATCCACACTGAGAAAGCGTTTTAAGGTTACAAAAACATGTCTTTTTGAAAATGCTGTCCTTTGTAAACGGATAAATTTGACAAAGCTGTTGCAGTGTGGACTGAAACCTGAGGCTTTCGAAATTGATGACTCATTTATTCATGTGATGCATGCAGGCATGTGACAAATTCAGCTAACATGGCAGACTACATTGTAGAGCAGATGTTTTGGATGCCCTCCATTTTTTTGACCGCATTATTAAAGATGTATAAAAAATAGAAATAATTCCATAATATTAAGCGTAGTTACAGGTGCAGTAGGTGATTGTCTTCAGAAACATTTTTTGTTGTGCTAGTTGAAAGTCTCTTCACAGTCTAATAGTAATGATAACAGTAAATGATCTAAATGTGTTTATATGTATTTTTATATTTTGGGTAAAGCATAAAACTAAAAAATGTTCATCCAATTAAATATTGTCGGGCCGACATCTCCCATAATTCCAATAAGCAGCTCAGACTGTCTGTCAGCAAATGTAGATTCGGACTTCTGCTTATTTGTTCACTCAGATCCGCCATTCGCGCATGCCCGTCGGCTTAAGCGCCGCGCGGTCACGAGACGGACCGGGAGAAATCAAATGCTGAATTGAAACTTTAAAACTTGTTCAAGCGATTTCCCAAGTGTTTTACTCTAAAAAAAGCATAAATATATTTATTTTCCTCGATTGGTTCAGGCTAAGTGCGTCTGGCCAAGCTCCTCTGTCCAGGTAATGAGCTGGGCGATGTCGACCCATTTGGCATCGTAGGATGTCTGATGTGAAACATCGCGATGAATGATGGCATCGTCGTCATAGGCAGAGGTGAATTAATCATTTATAAATAATAATTAATTACTTCATAACAAATTATTTATTTGTAGCCTTCCCTTTTAACTACCTGACCCGCATGGTTTTTGTTTTTTTCCCATAAACAAATCATAAATAAATAAAGATAAGTTGCACACAAAATACCACCTGTCAATCACTTTTTCCGCGGGAGGTTGGTCAGTAAAAAAAAGGTGCACAACCAACAGTATCTGAGGTCTTCACTAAAATGACTAAGTACAAGTGTGAAAGTAAAAGACTGAAGCGGTGTACTGATGATGTGACACGCTACCTGATATATTCAAAAGACTGAAGAGTCTAGAGATAGAGACAAGATTATTAAATATAGTGAGACGCAAAATTGTCCGAAGTGTACTGCTCTCTGGAGCTCAAGTGAGTGCATGACAGTGTGTGTGCGTGTGATCACGTGATGTGCGATTTCAGTGGACAGAGGGCTGTTCAGAAATGCTAGGTAAAACACTATGCTAGGTGGATGTGGATCATTTTTGTTCTAAAATGGCATTTAAAACTATGCCGTAGGGTCTAAGTGTGTATTTTTCGTGAGCAGGTTTGCGACGGGGGCGGGGCGGAGAATCGGCGATGCCTGCTCAGCATCGTGTTGTCTATTGGCTATCGGCGATGGACGATGGCATCGTCTGTCGGCCCAACCCTACTTTCCACATGTAGCGAAACCATAGAGCAGGGCTATTTAATTGGCGCCCCGCGAGGCAGTTTGTTCCAGCCCCCCAAACAGTGTGACCGAGACCTCAAAGATAAATTTAGTTCAGTCGAAAAACAGCCACTATTGGTATGATTTGATGTGCATCTGTTCAATACAGCAGGAGCTGCAGTTGAAGGCTGCGCAGAGCGCGAGTCCGCTGACATTATGCGAGTGAGTGGCGCGTGCAGCTGAAAACATTTGGATACTTAATTGTAAAAGCTTCTCAACACCACGGTTTTGTTGTACGGAACGAAACTGCTGCAACTAAACGAAGTTATACCACCTGTGCGCTAGTTTAAAGTTCCGAGTTTATAGCTATACGAAGGCTAGTTTGTTATTTCCAGTATTAGAATATATGCCAATATGCATGTGCAAGCGAAGCAATGCGCTCCCACCTTTCAGATGCGCAGAGTAGAAAACATCTCACGCTGTAGCGGTGACAGTTGTAAATGGCTTTCAGTGCAATGTAAACAAAAGATATGTTAGACGAATTATTGCAAATTAATAAAATTATTATGTGTATGTATGAACGCAGATGATAACAGCTGTTCATTGTAATGCAATGTAATGTAATGTGTATTTTGTAATGTAATGTGTATTTATATAGCGCATTTATTGTGTATGGCCATCCACCCAAAGCGCTTCACAATCATGAGGGGGGGTCTCTCCACACCACTACCAGTGTGCAGCATCCACTTGGATGATGCGACGGCTGCCACAGGACAACGGCGCAAGTGCGCTCACCACACACCAGCTATTGGTGGAGTGGAGGGACAGTGATACAGCCAATTCTGTGGAAGGGGATGACTGGGAGGCCATGATCGTAAGGGCCGATAGAGGGACTTTGGCCAGGACACCGGGGTTACACCCCTGCTCTTTCACGAGAAGTGCCATGGGATTTTTAATGACCACAGAGAGTCAGGACCTCGGTTTAACGTCTCATCCGAAAGACGGTGCCCACTGACAGCGTAGTGTCCCCTTCACTTTTACTGGGGCATTAGGACTCACACAGACCACAGGTTGAGCGCCCCCTGCTGGCCTCACTAACACCACTTCCAACAGCAACCTAGTGTTCCCTACTGGTCTTCCATCCAGGTACTGACCAGGCTCAGCCCTGCTTAGCTTCAGTGAGTAACCAGTCTTGAGCTGCAGGGTGATATGGCTGAAATGCTTACCTATTATAAAGCTTAAATTTACATTAGACATGATAACGGTGAAGCCATGATTATTCTTCAAACTTAAATCATACAACCAAAATTTATAATTGTTGCATCCATAATTGTTATGCAGTTCAAATCAAAACATATGAATGTGTCTGAATGTAGAAGAAGCCTACTTAAGCAATACACTGCTTTTGTTATGCTATGAAATTCAACATTTTGAATGTTTGTAAAAAAAGAAAAAAAAACATTGTACAATTCAGTGATGCTATGTAGTTTCAAAATACAATATTTTAACATTTTAATGTAGAAAAATACAACGTGGGTGTTTAAGGAGCAAAAATACAGCGTATGGGCTCTTATATGCTGTTGTGTCGTCACTCATGTTGCAAGTCATATCTCTCCGGTCCCTCATTAAGGATGCTTTACATTAACTGGCCCCCATGACAAACTAATTGAATAGCCCTGCCATCCAGTAAAATGGGATAATGCAAGTTTGTGTACTCCTGGTTCAAGAAAGACAATTTTAAACAGTGGCTAAAACTTGTCGCTGAAAACAGCCACGTAATTTATTCTCATGTACTCCATTCATTTAAACTACAACTGTTTATTAGCAGCTGTTTATTAAGTTAAAGCTTTGATACTGATTAGAACTTGAAGTGGTGATGAAAAAGACTTTTTGAGAAGATTTGAAAAGTCTTTAAAAGGTATTGAAATTACCTTTAGAGTTACGGCATATACCCTGGGTGAGGTGGATGATGGTGATGCTGGCTCAGCATGGTGATGTCTATCGGCCATTGGCGATGGATGATGGCATCGTCTATCAACCCAACCCTACTTTGTATGTATTATTGATGTGACTATTGCGAATTATCACATTGCGACATCGATGCTGAAACTATATATTTTGCAGCCCTAGTTTGAACATGCTCCATATTGCCTCTTTTCAACGAACATGGAAAGTTTACTGGGAGATATTGTTCAGTGGTGGAAGCAGATGATAGTTGTGTTACAGACCGTACATTGTGCTGCAATGTTTCAAAGAGAAGTAATGTAAATAAACAGCAGGCGCATATGACAAAGGCAAAAGGCTCTTGTGTCCGTGCGCATACGCAGAATATGAACGAAAGTGTTTTCAGTCACTTTAGCGTGGATGACCATTTTTTAAAAAGAATTGAAAAAGAGCAGGGCGGCGCAGTGGGTAGCACGTTCGCCTCACAGCAAGAAGGTCAGGGTTCGATCCCCGGCTCAGTTGCCGTTTCTGTGTGGAGTTTGCATGTTCTCCCTGCGTTCGCGTGCGGGTGCTCCGGTTTCCCCCACAGTCCAAAGACATGCGGTACAGGTGAATTGGGTAGGCTAAATTGTCCGTAGTGTATGAGTGTGTGTATGTGTGGATGTTTCCCAGAGATGGGTTGCGGCTGTAAGGGCATCCGCTGCGTAAAAACTTGCTGGATAAGTTGGCGGTTCATTCCGCTGTGGCGACCCCAGATTAATAAAGGGACTAAGCCGTCAAGAAAATGAATGAATGAATGAATGAATGAATGAAAACGAGCATGGACCTGGGAAGTTTTGACCAAAATGCCGTTTTTAAATTTATGATGTAGCCTTAGGCCCTGTCTACACAAACACTGGTATTTTCAAAACCACACTTTTTTTTCCTACATTGTTTTACTGTTTGTCTAAACGAAAACGCAGTATCAGGTGACTGAAACTGACA